TTTAAATAAAATGAAATATAATAATAATAATAATCATAATAATTATAAAATGATATATAAATTAAATAATAATTAATTGAATAATAAGAAAAGAATTATAAGAAATTATAAGAAGAGTTAATATAATTAAATTAATATATTATTTTATATAAATCTTAAGAAAATGTATTATAAATGACTATTTAATAAAATGAAAAGAGAATTTAAGAATAATAAGATTTTATTTAAAATTAAAAGATTTAATAATAATAATTTAATTAAAATATTTTAGATAAATTATAATAGATTTAAATAGATTCAAAAGAAATAAATAAATTAGACATTTAAATTAATTAAATTTATGATTAATTATAAAAATAATAAAATCAATTAGAAAATCAAATAAAAAATATTGAATAATTCAAAATATAAATTTAAATGTAAAAAGAAACTGAAAAATAAGTATTTGAAAAAGTTTAATAAGTTAAAGATAAAGATAAATATGAATAATCTATTTCTTAATATAAAAAATAAATAGATGAATTAAATCAAGTAATTTAATAATAACAAGAGATTATGTTAAAATATGAATATTATTATGTTCCTCATACTAACTCTAATAATAAGATCTTAGAAAATATTAAAAATGATATTTTGTTTCTTATAGAAAAAGTAAAAAATAAAGAGTTTATTGCACATAGTTATTTAGATTCAACCATTTCCGCATTACCTTAACAAATAAAAAAAACTGTAAATTTTTTGATTGATTTATTTATTAAAGAAATCAGTAACATGATAAATTTGGGGAATGAAGTGAGAAATTAGATTAAAAATTTAATTGATTAATCAAAATTGTACAATGTGAAAGTAGATTCTATGTTTTAGGTAGAATTAGATAACTTAAAAAATTATTATTCATTATTAGAAAATACTTAAAATTAGTTTATTTAATCTAGAAAAAGTGATATTCGAAGATTATCTTGAATAAAAATAAAATTATTTAATTATGAATTAAATCCATAATATTATAATCAAAATATCTAATCACTTATGTTTAATAATAACTTTGAAATTAAAAGCCAAAGTTATTAAATGTTTTAAAAAATTCTTGTTTATTATAACTTCTATAAAATACTTTTTTTAACTCTAACTAATTTCAATAATTTGCAAACCATAAAATTATTTTAAAATATAATGAGATTGCATTTTACAAAAATAATTTTAATTATTTTAAATTCAAGGTTTTGATGAAGGATGAAACTTAAATTGGATAATAAAATATTTCAAATATTTAAATTCATTGAATTTAAAATTATATAGATCTAAAATATTGAAATAATAATATGCTTCGCTGCTTAGGATTAAGTATAAAATAATATTGTTTTATTAGATCTTAAATGAATTAGAACCCAGAATCAATACTATTAAAATTTATCAAATCTTATAAGCCAAGTTATTCAAAATTACTTCATTAAGATTGAAATGTCTATTTAATTATAAGATTTTTTTATCAATAAGATTCTCAAAATCCAAAAATTTGACTATTATTAGTTTTTAAATGAATTTTATGGTGTTCTGCAATCTCATTTTGGCAAATCTATTTAAACTCTCTTCATATTAGTTCCTAAAGATTTAGCTATGAATGGATATAAAATAAAATGATTTCTATATTTCAAAACATATTTTTTATATCTTTTTCTTTATCAACAAATTAAAGTAAAAATAATTCAGAATTTTCAACCCTATTTTTGATATAAAATTTTTATTTGATTTACAAAAAAGTTTCTCTATAATTATTGATGGATACTGATCCTTAATTCCTTAATTTATTATTCTAGCTTACCCTCAAATAAGGAATGAAGTAGAAATATTATTATATAAGTTATAATTATTAACTTAACTTCAATGGTT